GCACCTCTGCCCTACCAGATAACCCCCAACCCTCTCTTCCAAAGCTGGTACCTAAATACCCACCCTTATTTTGATGTTCTGCTAGAACAGTTATGGTTCAAGGAGTCTCCCTTCCCTTCCCTTCCCTTCCCTTCCCTACCCTGGAAGTCCCCTGGCCCACCTATTCTCCCCCCCTTTCTCCCTGCCAGCCATTACCTTCTTGTCCCATCCACACACCATGCTGCCCACAGAGAGCCCCATTCCCTGGTATTCGGCCAGCATGTTGGCCAAGAGCTTGGAGGCGGCCGAGACGCTGATCTGTTCCTTGTTCCGAAGGTAGTATAGTCTGCATTGGGAAGGCCAGAAGGAGGGAAGGATCAGAGGAAGAGGGTCTCCCTTCCTACCCCGTGGCCCTGGATGTTTCCATCCCTCCCCAGGTCTTCAGCCTCTTCGTCTGGCCACAGTGGACACATTCAGATTCCCCAAATAAGGGGAAGGTTCGCAGTATCTCTCTGGCTTTACGCTGAGCCGAGGATGCACAAAGAGAGCCTCAAAGCTTGGAGGGGCCTTCAGAGCCTCCCTGAAAGTTCCCACCAAACCGTCATTGTTAATGTAATGGGAAGGGGAAATGTCAAAGAGAATAATCAGATCAACGGGAACTTAATTTAAATTAAATGTGCACTAAGATCGGATTTCTTTTTTTGTTCTGCCCCTGCCCATATCTCTGAAGGACAGCCCCTGGCATCCTGGCCTATGGCCAACTGTGGCCATCATCCCAAAAGTGTGTGTGGCTGGGATTCAGTCCTCTATATCTGGGACTTTGTCATCTTTGGTGCTGGATTGGGTGGCACTGCCCCAGACAGACCCAGTGCGTAATCTGGGGGTCCTCCTGGACTCACGGCTCCTGCTTGAAGAGCAGGTGGCAGCCATGGCAAGAAGGGCCTTTGCACATCTTCGGGTTGTGCATCAGTTATGCCCGTTCCTGGATCGGGATGCCCCTCGGTCACTCACGCCCTTGTTATCTCCCAGAT